GAAATATTTTAAGCAATATTCACTGAATTTCATATAAATAGTTAATACAGATATGTTTCTTCATGCAGGTTGTTTGAACGTGGTATCTTAAAAAATTGCATTTATACTATGAAGTGATATTTATAATTGAATATGAAGATGAAGATTTTATAAAACCATTTTAAAAGATATTTTGTTATCTAATTTTGTGCTGTTATATTTTCATGTTTATTTCATATGTGTATGTGTGTGTGTGTATACACACACACATACACATATATACATATACTTATATATGAATAGAATAGAATAGAATAGAATAGAATAGAATTCTTTATTGGCCAAGTATGGTTGGACACATAAGGAATTTGTCTTGGTGCAAATACTCTCAGTATGTTTGTGTGTGCGTGTGTATGTATTTATAGTCCAACTGTAAAAAAAACCTGCTGTAGTATTTTCACATGCTGTATCAGAATTCCTTTTACAAGGCCTAGTCTTATACAAAGATTTTCAGTAAGGAACTGAAAGAATGGAGTATTGAAGTACTAAAAGAAAAGAAAAAAAAGAAAAACATATAAATAGGCATACCACTAATTAAAGAATATGGGCACTACTGGGATTACATTTTATTTAATTTATTTTCTAGTCTTTCATCTCAACCAGTAACTCTGTGTGGCTTAAAATTCTAAAAAAACCCACACATTTAAACAATAATAACATTCAAAATATATTTATAGTGGCCAAGATACTTAACAACATTTGCAGCCCAAGGCTGAGGTACAGTGACCTCAATTTACAACAATTCATTTAGTGGCTGTTCAAAGTTACAATGGCACTGAAAAACGTGATTTATAACCATTTCTCAGTTACGACCTTTGCCACATCCCCATGATCACATGATCAAAATTCAGACGTTTGACAACTGGTTCACACTTACAAGCTTCGCTGTATTCCAAGATCAGGTGATCACCTTTTGCAACTTTCTGATAAGTAAAATCAATGGAGAAACCAGATTCACTTGACAACTAGGTTACTAATTAACAACCTCAGTGATTCACTTAACAATGGCAAGAAATGTCATAAAATGGGGCAAAACTCACTTAACAAATGTCTCACTTAACAACAGAAATTTTGGGCTCAATTGTGGTCATAAATCAAGGACTACCTGTACATAGCCAAGTTTTAAAGCCTTAGGAAAGGTTAATAAGTTTGGGGGCATTCTGATTTCTAAGAGGAAAATATTCCGGAGAGCGGGGGCTATTGCAGAAAAGGCCTATCTTCTATTCCTCGTCATCGGACTTTCTTTGGCTAATGGGTTTGGTAACATGCCTAGGCAGCTACATAGAACTGGACAGATAGAGACTCTTGGAAAAAGACGGTCCCTTAGGTAAGCTGGTCTCAAGCTATGTAACACTTTAAAGGTGACAAACAGCATTTGAATTTACCGGAAAAATATTGCTAGCCAATACAATTCTCATAGTAGTTACGCTGCATGTGCTGTATGTCCAGCACCATTTATTAGTGCGCAACTGCATTCTGAACTAGCTGAAATTCTCAAGTGCTCTTCAGGGGCAACCCCATGTAGAGTACACTGTGGCAATCTAAACAAGAGGTTTACATGGGCATAGGTGATAGTGAACAAGGTCTCCCAGTCTAGAAACGGGTGCAGCTGGTTCACTACTGGAAGTGTGCAAAGAGTCTCTTAGCCATTGCTGCCACCTGGTCTTTAAACAGGAGCTGTGAGTCAAGGAGGATCACAAATTGTATATTGGGTCTGTCTGGAATACTACCACCCATCTTGAACTAAGGAGTGAAGAACTTTGTCCAAATACTACCACACCCACTCAGTCTTCCTAGGGTTAAGTCAGACCTTGTCATAAGTCCCACTAGAATAGGATATCCACAGTATCACTCAGAGGGCCTGAAGTAGAAGTATAAGGCTAAGTGTCATATGCATATGGTGGCCAAACTAGCAGCTAAGAGAGTCCTATCCTCAGGTTCCACAAATTCAAACTGCTCCTCCACCTTGCAAGCTGTACCCCCTCCCATTGTTTCTCTTTAAAGCTGAAGTCTAACACAGAGCAAATGCAAGCAACTTTATCTTCCAGAGGTACAGATGTACATTCTTCACAGCAACCCTGTAGGTGAACTTCGATATTACTTCTCTAAGGAGGGACCGAATTACCTGTAACAGGTCTGGTGAGTGTGTTGCCCTACTCACACACAGTAGTAGATTAAAAGTCTTCATTGAATGCCCAAGCCCAAATGTACAGTCCCCAGCAGTTCTTGAAAAATAAAAGCCCACATACCCCCTCTGAACCCCACCAGAGGCTTGAAGGAGCTGGCAAGAGGATCGGTCTCAATCCCTGAAGCTAGGCAGAAGCCAGAGCAAAGATGCTCGACAAGGCAGGGGACCCAAAGGCTTGAATTAGTCTGCCCGGCAAAGCACAATGTCAAGGCACAAACCAAAGGGCCAAATCATAAAGTCCAAGGCAGGAAACCCAACAAGGCTGGGATACAAAGCAAGACAACTGGACACATTGATTCCAGCAATGTTCTTCTCTTTGAACAGGCTTAAATAATTAATGCTGGGACAGCCCCTCATGATGGATGAGGTTGCTGCCTTGCAAGTAGCCTGGCTGACCAGTGTTCGTGTTTCCTCAGCCCTGTACACCCTTGGATTAGGGAGTGGGTTAGCTCCTCTTCCTCATGGCCACTGGCAGCTATGCTCGCTCCCTGCCTAGAGTCTCAACGCTACCATGCTGCAGTTGTGATGCCCTCTGTCCGAGCTCAGCTGACTGTCCATCCAGTTGTTCCAGCTGCAGTTGCTCTGTTGAGCTGGAGCCTGCTGCTTCCTGATCCGCATCTACACTAGCCCCCAGGTTCACTGTCCTGTCTCCTCCAGAGGTGCCAGGGACTGACTCATCCTCCTCATCTAAACTTAAGTCTGGAGAGGAGATTGGAGGCATGTACAGAGGTATAACCAGCAAATCAATCACTGTGGTGACCATTGGGAGACCCAATAAGGGTGAGGAAATACTTAAGTTTCTCCACCCTTACCACCACAAGGCAGACTCTTATAGCATGTCCAGTTGTCTTTGCTCTTTGTCTTTCATCAGTAACACACTACCTGCTTTATTTCCCTCAGTTCCATCATATACGATAGAGAATATCGGGAATCATGGAGAGGCCATTCAGCCACAATCCAATCCAAAGCTACCACAGTTTTACTAATCCATTTGGTCACTAAGGCTTTAGTCAGACCAAACAGCATCTTCTTCAGAATAATTGGCTACATTAGTTACTTGGGGTGGGCCCAGGTAACAAAGGAGGGTGGCACTTGAGAATTGGAGCCTTACCAGACAGTGATCTGACCATGACAGGGGGACAAAATTAATATTTTCCCCAAATCCATAAAGCTCTGCCACAAAAAAACAGATCAGGTATATCACCGCTGTGATGAGTTGGGTCTTGACAATTCGACAAATGGCTACTAACTCCTGAGCTACCTCTGATCCTCTTCCAGAATGGCAGATTGAGGTTCTCCAGGATTAAGAGCCCAGGAAACTCCACCGCCAGCCCAGTCACAGAATTGAGGAGCTTAGGCAGGGAGGTCGCTATGCAGCAGGAAGGCTGGTATAATATAGCAACAGATCCAGCTGACCCCTCCTGCTACATAAGAAACAACATCTTATATCTGGTAATCTGTGGAGCAAGGCTCCTGGATGCCTTCCTAGTATCCAGACAATCACCGCCACCACCCCATATCACCTTTCCTGGAGTCAATAATATTAACGTATAGGGCTGCTGTTTATAAGTAATGCAGGGGAAGTGCTGCTTAAATCTTAAGACCGCAGTCCTGTGAGAATATTTAATGGTTATCACTGGAGTCAGGAGGTGGCTTCACATTTTGCCCTTAGCCATGATATAATTAGCTAGGTTTTGCTTTGGTCTGTTTATCCATCTAACCATTTCTTAAAAAAATATGTGTCTTAGAATTTATATGAACTCACCAAATTATTCTTTATTGAATTGCAGCTAAGAAAGCTATGGCTTAGCATGTTTTATGAACACATCCATTATAGAAGTTAAATCGTGATTTATGTAATTGTGGTTTGTGTGAACCCAGATAGAGCCCTTATCCAAACAAGTAATAGTTATAGTTTTGTACAATGTCTTAACCTATTCAAGGAAATTTCCTTTTGAATAATAACATAGAATATAAATGGTATAAGTATTCAACATTTTAAATTGCTTTTTATCCACTTTTGCAAATCACTTGGGAAGGTACGAAAAACTAAAGCCTCCATGCAAGATACCGTATTAATTCAGTTAAATTCATTCAAGAATTTAACTTCATACAATTTTTTTTATTTATAGGATTTAAATTAATATTAGTGCTTACCACCGAAATCATGTTTAGCATTGGAGAGGAGGCAACTGAAATAACTTTTTAAATAAATGTATCTTTTGAGTATGCTCTGAATTGTGTAATGTTTAATTTATGTATAGACAGTATGTTTCCTGATCTTCTTACATTCCTCTAGTCCCAGCTTTTTTATGTTAGCAGTCATTGCTAACATTTTGAGTTTGTTTTGGCCCACAAACAAAGAAAAGTTCCTTAAACAGATACATCCAAAGATAATTTTTGTCAAGAATGTTGATTTGCTTTCCATACATTCTTATCAATAGTCTAGACACATGAAGATCACAGTGAATAGTATATCTTTTTTTAAAAAAAAAAACCCATTTCCTTCCTTAAACAATGAACTTTTCATTCTGTTTTATGAAAGGATGGTTGCAGCCTTTCTCCAAAAGGGAAAAAGAGAAAGAATGGGGATGGGGGAGAAAGAGTAAGATAGTAGCAGTTTTTTTTCTTTCTTGGTAGCTGCCATCTAATCAGTAGATAAATAAAAGAACAGCGTTGCAGGAAGTATGCACTAGTTAGCCCAATACCAAGGATGTCTAATAATGTAATTACAAATAATTTGGATCTATATCATGTATCTTTGTTTTTACAGAAAGCAGAAGCCACTGGAGAAAAACGACCAAGGGGCCGACCCAGGAAATGGGTAAATACTACTTTATATTTATAAGTATAGCTATTTCATCCTCCAAACATAGCATTAATATAGATGGTTATCTTGTTTTTATTCGTTTAAATTCATTGCTATTTTCTACTTAATTTATCTTCTAGCAGATTCTAACCTGGCTTTAATGATTGATTTACTTAGTTAATATACTGATATTAATATACAAATATTGATATACTTAGTTAGCCAGGATTCATATCAAACCGGTAGTATGGTAGCCCTGCAGGAGGCAGATTCCAGAAAGCTGCAGAGAGCAGAGAGCAATATCAGAAGGAGAAGAGAGAATGGTAGTCCAGCTTGGAGTAAATTATCCTTCATCTTTCTGGTGGGGCTATATACATATGCCTTCTCTATATTTGTAGGTTAACCTTGCCTAATTTGCCTCATCAGTTTGTGTTATACCATAACTGCAAGATATCTGTTAATTATATTGGCTGGGACTCCCAGGATCTGTTAATTCAAATACATTTGGGTAGAGTAGATTAGAAAAGGTGGTTATAGATAGATGTTGGTAGAAAAAAACCCACAAACAGAAGTCCTGCATGCCTGATGTTGCAGCAATTTTGTGCTCCTGATTGTTATCACTTGTTTGTTTTATCATTATCCCCAATCATACCTTCACTTTCTTTGGCCAAAGCTTACTCTTCTTTCTGGCTATAGCATTGGTATTGGGAGGAAAGGTCTGGACTTTTTGTTACCTCTTCAGTGAATAGTAGAAGTAGTATACTGATTTTGTGGTAATAGATACTAGATTGCACATGTCATTGTATGTGTAAATATAGACACATAAAGTAGGCTGTAGGAGCTGATTAATGGTTTTTTGCCTGGACCTCTGAAAACTGCAAGCACTGCTCAATGAAAGTGTTGAAAGAAGGCTCATGAAGAGTAACTAGTTTCCTACCTTTAGACTCTAATTTGCGCAGAGACTTTATTTATTGAGTGGAAATAGTTGTGTGAGCCTTATCAGCATGAATGAACCTCAGCTCTTGTTTTTAAAAAAAGAGAATGAGATAGTTTGTTGGGTAATTCAGTTACAAAGGTTAAAGAGGGGTTTATCAGGCATCGGAAAGTGATTATGAAAGAGGATAAAATTCAAACAGAGTGTATGCAAAGATAAGATTAATAAACAAAACTTCTTTGTTTCTTTCTGTAGTGTCCAGGGACAACTTTGCCTCAGAGTTCAGAAACTTATACTAAACAACTCAATGGTTTATATTATTTATCCTCTTTGTGTGAGCATCGTTGTCGCAGCCTCGGAGCTTCTAAGTAAAATATACCTTCCAAGGCTGACACTTTGGGCTACATCAGAAAAAAATGGCTTAACCAAAGTGAGCTTGGGTTTTCAAGCCAGTCTTTAAATCAAGGCATACATATTCACAACCGTGGAAATTGTATATTTTTTTTAAAGTAGGGATAGTGTAGCTAGAGCAGATATATGGATTAAGGGTTAGTTTGGATTCATTCTCTCACCTGCATCCTAACATCCTATCAGTAGAGTTCAAAATTTTGCTTTGTGGATGCTTGATTCAAGCCATATTAGTAATGTCAGTGCCGTTCCTGTCACTGTAGCTTCTTTTGCTGCACAAACTATTGCCACTGTCCAGGTAGTGTGAAGAGATCTAAAATAACATCTCAACAGGCATGTAACAGCTCCACCATCCCCATTTTCTTTTATAAAATGAAGAGGAGCTTATAGCTCCTAAAAGAGGAAGTTTTTTCAGACTACCAGATAAAGTGTTGGGGCAGACAATGACAGTACAGATCACTTTTCCCTGCAAAAGCACATCTCCATGTCAGAATTTGATTAAATAAAAAGTTAGAGTCAAAATGCAATTTTTCTTCCATGTTGAATCCAAGAATTAGAAATCACTAGGAGAAGAATTTCTATATCAGCATGTAGGCTCCCAATCATTGTTAAGCTTTCTGCTAACATTTCAGCTATTGTTCTTTTTACTTAATCATATTTACCAAAGTTTAAAAATATACATATAAAACGAATTAAAATTAGGTTAAATCTTAGTTTTGTTCTAGCCAATGCATTTTTTGTTGAAAGATGCCCTGTCACTCAAAGGGAAGTGCAACTCCCAGCCCCCCTCCCCAAAAAAACAAAACAAAACACTTGTACTCTAGAGATGAGATAACACACATAGAATGGGATGTTGTCCTACTTTATTCTCACTTCAACAATCATATAAAGTAGTTTCGTGACTGGCCCAGATGTCCAGGTGGGCACTGGGATCTGCATTTTGGTCTTAATTTTTACATAAGATAGCCTCACAACTATGATAATGTTTAATGGCAGTCTGGTTTTAAAAATAATGTTTGATAGTATGTTGCAGTCTGAGATGAAGAAATATTCTCTCTGGAGAACATTTAAAAGGACAATGTATGAGTTTTGTAGTTATTTGGTTTATACCAATAAATGGAAAAAAGATGCCTTTATCAAACTGACAGATGCAGCCAGACTTTTCTATACAATGATGATGATGATAATAATTTACTGAAGTTATATGCTGCCTTATTCCCTGTGACTCCAGATGGTTTACAAATTATTGAAAACATTTAATACAATAAAAAAAAATACCAAAGCAGCATAAAATGAAAGAACATAGCAGAGAAATAAGCTGGGAAAGCGGGCAAAGAAAAAGAAGAAGGGGTGTCAGTTGTGCTGGGAAAACGCTTGCTGTAATATATGTGTAATTGTAAGCTGTAATCTTGAAAATCCTTTGTGAACTACTCAATTTATCATATAATTTTCCTCAACAATCATGCTGAACAATTATTAGCTTTTTGAAATACATACTCACACACATACATAAATTTATATTATTATTTTTGCAAATAACTTGTAAAACATATGTCACTTTCCTCCTTATATTTTCCCCATAACAACTCTGCAAGTTGAGTTGGGCTAAGAAAGTGTGACTGGCCCAAGATCACCCAGCTGGTTTCCATGGCTAAGGTGGGACTAGAACTTGCAGTATCTTGCTTTTTAGATTGGTGTCTTAGCCACTAGACCAAACTGGCTCTTGCTTCTATACTGTAGAATAGAAATAGTTTATTCTCAAGCTAGGCTAGCATGATGTATATTAATTATTGAGGAGCTATGTTCTATCTTTTCATTTTTTTTATTTCTTAAATATTATGATGCCCCCCAAGAATATGCTTTAATATATGTTAGCCCAGCGGTGGGATTCAAATATTTTTACCACTGGTTCGGTGGGCATGGCTTGGTGGACGTGCTTTGAGCACATGAACACACTTTGCGTGCATGCGCATGCCAAACACGCACTTTGCGCAGGCGCAAAGGTGTTTGCACAGGCGCAGAGGCTTTCTAACTCATCCCCTGCAAGCCTGCATGATCCCATCGCTTCAGCAGCTGCCGTGCAGCACTCTTCTGTGCCACACAAAGCAGCTGCAGTTCAAATTCAGAGGATAAAGCTGAGTATGGGAGCCCAGGCGGGCGGTTGGGCCCAACAGCAGAGCAACGGAGTGAACCAGTTTGGTCTCCGCTCCTCATTGCTGCTACCGGCTCTGCAGAACCGGGCCGAACTGGTAGAATACCACTACTGTGTTAGCCTGAATATATAACATGTAAATTACATGATCCTGCCTTGAATAGGGCTGGACTTGAAGATCTCCAAGGTCCCTTCCAACTCTATGGTTCTATTTTCTGTGATTGAGTGAATCTCATTGATACAGTAATTCATTACACATGTCAGAGATCTGATGAGAAATATGTGCATGTAGAGTTGTTCTCTGCTGAAAGAGCTTAGGAAGGAGCTCCCTATTTGCATTAGACTATACCAAGACCTCTGTACTGAGAGCAAAGTATAGCAAGACAAAAATCAATGAGATGTGTTATCTAAAGCCGTATGGCCTTATGCATTTTACAGGCAACTCTTGTCATATACAGTATCTCACAGAAGTGAGTACACCCCCTCACATTTTGTAAATACTTAAGTATATCTTTTCATGTGATCACACTGAAAAAATGACATTTGGCTACAATATAAAATAGTGAATATCCAGCTTGTATAACAATATAAATGTGCTGTCCCCTCAAAATAATGCAACACACAGTTATTAATGTCTAAGCCCCCTGGCAACAAAAGTGAGTACATCCCTAAGTGATAATGTCCAAATTGGGCTCAAGTAGCCATTTTCCCTCCCTGGTGGTATGTGACTCATTAGTGTTACAAGATCTCAAGTGTGAAGGGGAAGCAGGTGTCTTAAATTTGGTGTTATCACTTTTACTCTCTCATACTGGTCACTGGAAGTTCAACATGGCACCTCATGGCAGTGAACTCCCTGAGGATCTGAAAAAAACGAATTGTTGCTCTACATAAAGATGGCCTAGGCTGCAGGATTGCCAAGACCCTGAAACTGAGCTGCAGCACAGTGACCAAGACCATACAGCGGTTTAACAGGACAGTTTCCACTTAGAACAGGCCTCGCCATGGTCGACCAAAGAAGTTGAGTGCCCGTGCTCAGTGTCATATCCAGAGGTTGGCTTTGGGAAATAGATGTATGAGTGCTGCCAGCATTGCTGCAGAGGTTGATGGGGTGGGGTGGGGTCAGCCTGTCAGTGCTCAGACTATATAATGCACGCTGCATCGAATTGGTCTGCAGGGCTGTCATCCCAGAAGGAAGCCTCTTCTAAAGACGATGCACAAGAAAGCCTGCAAATGGTTTGCTGCAGACAAGCAGTCTAAGAACATGGATTTCTGGAACCACGTCCTGTGGTCCGATGAGACCAAGATAAACTTATTTGGTTCATATGGTGTCAAGCGTGTATGGTGGCAACCATGTGAGGAGTACAAAGTGTGTCTTGCCTACAGTCAAGCATGGTGGTGGGAATGTCATGGTCTGGGACTGCATGAGTGCTGCCGACACTGGGGAGCTACAGTTCATTGAGGGAACCATGAATGGCAACATGTACTGTGACATACTGAAGCAGAGCATGATCCCCTCTCTTCAGAGACTGGGCCACAGAATAGTATTCCAACATGATAACAACCCCAAACACACCTCCAAAACAACCACTGCCTTTCTAAAGAAGCTGAGGGTAAAGGTGATGTACTGGCCAAGCATGTTTCCAGACCTAAACCCTATTGAGCATCTGTGGGGCATCCTGAAATGGAAGGTGAAATGTGTGCAAGGTCTTTAACCTCCACCGGCTCCATGGCGTCGTCATGGAGGAATGGAAGAAGACTCCAGTGGCAACCTGTGAAACTGGTGAACTTGATGCCCAAGAGGGTTGAGGCAGTGCTGGAAAATAATGGTGGCCACACAAAATATTGACACTTTGGGCCCCATTATTACTGAGGGGTGTACTCACTTTTGTTGCCAGCAATTTAGACATTAATGGCTGTGTTTTGCACTTCTGTGAGATACTGTAAGTTCCATTTAAACTTTAAAATGACATTGGAGTTATTTTATGATTAATCAAGTATATTTGCAGCAAATATTTCTCAAAATATTTTTATAATACGGTTTATAGATATTTTTTAAATTATAGTTCAGAAAAGACAGAAGATGCATTTTTAATAACTTCCTAATTTATTTTTGCTAGATTTGTGAATTATACTGTATGTTGTTTATCAAACTTCATGAAGTATTATTTCTTCTGTGTCCTTCACTATGTATATAAAGAGATGCATTAGCTAACAGGTCTCGGTTAGTTTAATGAAATATTTTAGATTTCCAAAACTATGAATCCCCTGGTGAAACAAACAAATCAACTCTGTTACCTTGCTTTAATTGTTTTGGTGTATTAAATGCATAAAATGACAATAATATAAACTTGTTGTGCAATTAAATACAAATGAAATTTCTTTTAATTATTCCTATGTCATATAGAAAAGGTGTGCTTTATTTTCTTCATTTTTTTAAATGAAAAGGATATACAGCATGAAATATTATTAATCATTTATCACATCAGAAGAAGAAATCAAATTTTAAAGTCAGTTTGAATTTTAAAATCTATTCGAAAGCCCTCTCAAATCAAGATTTGAGTTGCAGTGCAACACTAAATGCTTAAATCCAGGTATGTGCCTAAACAGTCAGTCTACAAATCAGAAATCAATCATTTATATTTTGACAAGTTCTTAAAGGCAAAGATACTTCAATAAAAATGCTCAGTAGTTTTGGTATCTACTTTATGATGCTTTAATAGTTAATAGTAGCATTAATGATCAGCAGTGATTAGCTAGCATGCTAACTTTTTCATTATTCCTTGGATTCCAGCTGCAGTATAGAAAAAGTACT